TCTTAACCTGGCGCCATAAAACATATAATGACAGCACCAGGCAGACCTCTCTGGGGTCACATTCCATAGTCGGGGTGCCACCACAGAGAAGGCCCTTCTCCGGGTACTCTGTCTCCTAACATCTTTCACAGAGGGTTCCTGGAGGAGGGCTTCTGTTGCCCATCTCTGGGGGCGGGAGGGCAAATCGGGAAAAAGGCGTTCCTTTAGGTATCCTGGTTCCAAGCCATTTAGGGCTTTATAGGTAATAACCAGCACCTTGAATTGAGCCCGGACTTTGGTGGGATTTTCTCCTTGATGTGTTGGGCAAAGTTGTCACAGCAGGCCATCGATGGTGGTACAGGATCTTTCTTAGGGCCAGGGTATATCAGCCCATGTACCACTTGCTCTGCTGGACAGCACTGTGAGGAGGCAGTGGAAGTGGAGAAGAATTTCTTCCTTGCCGCCTTCATTGCCACAGCATAGGCTTGATAATGAGCACGTAAGCATGTTCGGTCAGATTCATCCCGTGATTTCCTCCTCCTGTGCTCTAATCGTCTCCCAACCCGCTTCATCGCCCGCAACTCAGGCGTATACCATGGAGATGGATGGGCTCTGCTTGGCAGGAGAGGACACTTAGGGGCAATCGTGTCAATCGCTCTGGCCATTTCCCCATTCCACAGTTCAACCAGAGCATCAACAGGAGCACCAGCTTTATCAAATGGAAAATCCCGCAGAGCCCTCAGGAATCCATCCGGATCCATCCGGCTCCGAGGGTGGACCATCACAATAGGGTCCACACCCCTACAGAGGGAAAGGCCAGCTCCAAGATCAAACCTCATGAGGAAGTGATCTGATCATGACAAGGGACACAAATTCCTCACTCTCAAATCATCCTCTTCCTGCCCCGTCGAGAAAACCAGGTCCAGCGTGTGACCACGTTCATGGGTTGGGCCTATGACATGTTGAGACAGCCCCATGGAGGCCATGAAGTCCTGAGTGGCCCGGGTCAGAACAGTCTTGGCTTATATATTAAATTATATATAATTTATCTTTTTATTAAGATTTAAAAATATTTTAATGTATTGGTTAATTTTATGTCCATTCTTATTCAATAGATTCTATCTTTATTGTTGGTTTTATATTGTGAGTTACTTAAATGTATTATGAATTATATGGCTTTAACTGTTGTATAACACGTTGTGAGCCACTCAGAGAGGCTTATGGCTAATGGGGCAGCATACAAGTCAGATAAATAAATAAATATACAAATAAACCAGTAGTTGGAAGAAATGTTCCATTGAGTGCTGTGCTTCCAAGGTATGCATTCATGTGCACATGGGCTCTCTTCTGAATTTTATGCTCAATTAGGAGGAAAATATCACCTAATCGGAGAATAATAAGAAACATTATGTATATTTATAGTGAAAACACAGAAAGAGTAGGACGTACAAGCACCTTTTAAGGGAATGAAAAGGAAGGATTAAATCAGAGACCATCCTATGAAATGAAATATATATTTTTAGATAGCTTAAACAAGCTTGTTGGGATACAGTTATCACAAATTAACTTTATACATGGACAATGCATACAACAGGAAATGCAAAAATTTAGCCAATGCAACAGCAGGTGATAATTGTTGTTTTGTTGCAAAGTCATGCCAGACCCATCACGACCCCATGGACAACATTCCTCCAGGCTCTCCTGTCCTCCACCATCCCTTGGAGTCCACCCAACTGCCTCAGTGACTCCATCCAGCCACCTCATTCTCTGCTGTCCCCTTCTTCTTTTGCCTTCTATTGTTCCCAGCATTAGGCTCTTCTCCAGGGAGTCCTTCCTTCTCATTAGGTGGCCAAAGTATTTGAGTTTCACCTTCAATATCTGGCCTTCTAAAGAGCAGTCAGGGTTGATTTCCTCTAAGATTGACTGGTTTGATTTCTTTGCAGTACAAGGGACTCTCAGGAGTCTCCTCCAGCACTGCAATTCAAAGGCTTCAATTCTTCAACACTCAGCCTTCCTTATGGTCCAACTTTCACAGCCATACATTGCAACTGGAAAAATCATACACTTGACTATATGCACTTTTATTGGCAGGGTGATGTCTCTGCTTTTTGGTGTGCTGTCTAGATTTGCCATAGCTTTCCTCCCAAGGAGCAAGTGTCTTTTAATTTCTTGGCTGCAGTTACCATCTGTGGTGATCTTGGAGCCCAAGAAAATAAAATCTGTCACTACCTCAGTTTCTTCCCCATCTATTTTTCAGGAAGTGACAGGACCAGATGCTATGATCTTAGTTTTCTTAATGTTGAGTTTCAAGTTAACTTTTGCACTCTCCTCTTTCACCTTCATCAAAAGGCTATTTAGTTCCTGACCTGTGAATATGTGAAAAAGTATTGGATTAAAATACATAAATGGCTTGAGGAAATGCTACAAAAACCCTTAGCTTTTAAACCTGAAATTTTCTTGTTAGGCATTATACCGGAAAATATTAGCAAACAAGAAATGTATTTGATGCTACATTTAATCACAGCTGCGAGGATTGCGCTTGCTCAATACTGGAAGAGTGAGGAATTACCCACTGAGGAACTGATTTAAAAAAAGATTCTGGACTCTGCAGAAATGGACAGATTGACTCTATTACTGAAAGAGAAAGAAGATACTGACTTCTATCAAACTTGGGACCTTTTTTATGATTGGCTGGAGAAACAGGACTTGGCTTAGATTTAAAGATGTTTTTAAATTTTTATAAATTGATTTGAATTTGATTATAGAATGTTAAAAAGATACATTATAAGGGGCTGACCCAGTCCATCCGATGTATTTGATGATTGATGTTTTTAATTTTTAGTTTAAAAATTTTAATAAAAATCTTTATTTAAAAAAAGGCTCTTTAGTTCCTCTTCACTTTCTGCCATTAGAGTGGTATTGTCTGCATATCTGAGGTTGTTGGTACTTTTTCTGGCAATCAACTTGTAATTCATCTAGGCTGGCCTTTCACATGATGTGTTCTGCATATAAGTTGAAGAGGCAGGGGGACAATATACAGCCTGTCATACTCCTTTCCCAATTTTGAAGCAATCAGTTGTTCTGTGTCCAGTTCTCACTGTTGCTTCTTGACCCACATACGGGTTTCTCAAGAGACAAAGAAGATGGTCTGGTACCCCCATCTCTTTAAGAACTTGCCACAATTTGTTGTGATCCACACAATCAAAGGTGCAGGGACAGGCAAAGTGTCATAATAATATTATATATACAAATTATAAATTACAGTTGCACAGTTGAAATCATATAGTGCAGTGACTATTAGTAATGTCATTAAAAGAAGCATTTCTAAAGCTTAAAGATTATGCATTCTGAAGCAAACATTTGGTCTATTTAATAAACCATTTCTATGCAGTTGGTTAGATAAGGGCCAAACTAAACAGAATGTTAAAGATGCATTTGAATTTATTGTGTGCATTTTTAAAAATTCAACCAACACCTGCTCTCCAGCATTCTCTCCTCCCACCCCACTGAATGGGTGTGTGTGTGTGTTATAATTACTGAGATCACAGTAGTCAGGGTGGAAGGATTTAACTCTTTCCTCCTCTGTTGTACTCCTAAGGGAAATCCTTGCTCTCAGGCTGCCATTTGCATCATGAGGCCATCCCCTGTTCGTGCCAAAGTTAGAGAAAATTAGTTGAACCTGTCACAGTGGTATCAATTGAACAAGTTAGTTGGGACTCCTGGAAATCCCCTTGAAATAATCACTACCAACTTCTTATTTCATTTTGGACTATTATCAGTGTGTTTCCTAAATATGCAGTAGAACAAATAATCCATTTGTCTTACAAAGCCAGTCCTTAAAGTGGGCAACAACTGCCACAGCTAGTGGAAAATCAGTCCCATCTTCAGGTTCCGAGAATTAAATGTGCAAGCATCCTATTCCATTAAGTCACAGGGCATTCAGCCAATTTTCTCTATAGCTAATTCCATAGAAATCTTATGGCATAGTTGGGATCCACAATCCCAATTAGCTTCAGTCAGGAAATGGGTTATTGCTGTCTGTATTCAGCCTTTTTCCCCAGGTCCTACTATTTAGGACAGGGGTCTCAAACTCGTGGCCCATGGGCCAATTGCCGGGGCACGGGGGAGGGGCCCTGCGGCCTTCAAAGTGCCAGCGGCACCCAGGTCGGCCTCCGGGAGTGACGCGGGATGAGCGGCCCACCACCACCACGGTGGTGGAATACTTGATGCGGCCCAGCCTCACCCAGGCTCTACTTCCAGCGGCCCCCAGGTAAGTTGAGTTTGAGACCCCTGATTTAGGATCTTCACTTGTGGTTTTACAGTTACTTAATATACATTGCTCTTATTTAGCTGCTTTTGCTCTTTTGGCTCCTTGGTGATTCACTCATACTCATACCTTACAATAATTTCTTCAACAAAAAACTTTTCAGTAACCTTCAAATCATTTTAATTGATTTGTGATGCCTTATATAAATGGTGAATATGGCATGCTTAGGAACCGGCTGTACCTAATCAGTAATGTGAGACAAGCGATCTTTAGTAAGGTGGAACAAGTAATCTTACAGGGTACAAAGCTGACTTTCAAAGCCAATTCTTGGCTTTCTGTACTACTGAGCCCTAGCAGGAATTGCTGTTCAAATATAGCTAACTAAATGTACTAGTGTGAAATTGACCAAGGAAAATCTCATGTATGCAACTGGGTCCTGAGCTGCAGAACCTCCCTCTACAGCTGGAACTTTCATGAATATTCTGATTGCGAATAGAAGGGTCTGTCCTAGAATGCTGAAAGTTAATGCAGTTTCTGTGAAGGGGAAGAGTGGGTTTTATACATGGATTTGAAATGACCCAGGGTGCAGTCCTATGCATGTCGAGCTGGGGCAGGGGTGCGTGGGAAGTTCTAGAGCTCCAGCACTCTTCAGCTGGCAATTCTGTCTAAATATTCATGGGATTGTACTTGTCAGGCTTGGGTTGCACATCTAAATTCATCTTAATCATATTCTCGCACCTTCTGATGTCTTTTGCTTTATAGCTCAGCTGAGGGATTTGGCGTGGCAAAGATTGCACTGCTCACCTTTATCTCTGCAGTTATTCTTATGGCTATCCTGGGGAATCTGTTGGTGATGGTGGCTGTATGCCGAGACAGGCAGCTTAGGTAAGTTCATCTAAATGTTAGCATCAAACTCTTGGCAGAAGAAGCTTTTTTGGGGTGGAGTAGTTGTTTCCAGTGCAAAATGAAAAATGTGAAAACAGCTGTGAACATAAACAATGTGATAAAGAACATTCTGCTTTTCTCCATCTCAAATACTAGTGTGACGTCAATCTTTTGACTGCTTGCAAAGTGTCTGAGGTTGAAGTTTATATTACAGGTGTGTGATCATTTTATTATCCCATGTCTGCATTTCTAGCATTCATATCCTCCTCAAAATACATAAATCATACTGAGCAAATGTCAAAACAAGATATAAAGAAATGCACAAAAATGTATTTTAGCTTCATCATACTTGCTTTTTACAAATATCAGCTAAGTATTTTACATTGACGCACTGATGCAGAGTTTTGACATGGAAATGTTCAGCTGGTTACAAAGTCTACATATTTTAAGTCTTTGTTTCAGTTATTAATGTACATGTTAGGAGGGGAAGATTGATTGCAGCATTTACTACAAAAATTGAATATAACTTTAGTTTGCAAAATATATAGCAGGACATAGTCCTGCTGCACTGTTTCAGAATTTCTAAAATCTCAGCTGAAAAGCCATTTCTTAGTGGCAGAAATTCACGCTGTCATTTAAAAAGATATTTGGTAGCATGGCTGAGAAAAACGTTTGCCTGAGAAACCTGGGTAGACACCTTAGAAAATGCAGGAATATCTGTATAAGAAACAATGCTGACTTGGATGGACTTTCTGTCAGAAAAGGTCTCATCTTTTGACCTCAGCTGTACTATAAAATTGATTTCTGAGCATTAATGTTCCCACTGGCGTGTTAACAGACAAACAAAGATTTAGGGGAGCATTTTGAGAATTATAAAAGTGTGGACAAATTTTCCAAGGAAAACCTAAAAGCTTCACATATGGTACAGCCCCTGATATCAAACAAAGGATTTACTTAGTTTCACTTCTGCTTCAGGCACAGGAGATGATGATGATGATGATGATGATGATGATGATAGGAAGAAATCATAATGAATAGAGTAACTGAGTGTTCAGAATATTGCCCAACCCTAGTTGTTTTGAATCTGAAGTGCTTGAAGAACACACTATTTATCAAAAATGTTTTATCAATTTTTTAAACAATTTGACTTTCCAAATTGAACTGTGACTCTACTAGACTTTAAATGGTTGAGAAATTTCTCTAGACAAGTAAGTTAAGCCTGAAGGAGTAGGAGATATCTTGTTTTGATATCTTGTTTTAATATCTTGTTTAAAATGTTCCTTAAGATTGCTATGCAAATTCAAAAGCCGAATTCCCCAAATCAAGGGCACACTAAAAGATCAATTATTCATCTGATAAGCTTTCTCATGTGATAACCTTTATGCGATGCAGATAACCTATTATTTATATTAGCATTTTAATATATTTGATAACAAATGTCCTGCCTTTTGTTATGAAATACCTAACACTCTTAGAGTAGAACAACAAGTTCCAGGAAACCTTGTGGGGGAAAGAGCAAACCTGTGTCAGCTTTTCTTTCTTGCTGCTCTTTCATTGGCTTTACATTTTATGTGGATGAAACTGTGCATTTCCCAGCCCCTGCAAGTTGCAGCTAATGATATAGAAGAGGTATTGGGAACATGCTGTGCTGTGATGTCAGGAGTGTCTACAGGAGAATTTTTACTACACATGGTGAGAGGGAAAATGCTTCAATGGCAATGTGAGGTTAGTGGGGGATTGCCTTCAGAAGCTCACTGGTTTTTCTTTCTAGCTGTACTGACTACTGTAGGGAAAAGTACATTCATTCTTCGATAGCTGAAAAGAAAGCAACAACAAAACCTATTCCCAGGGATATAGTTCTTTCATGTGCATGAACACCAGAGCTTTTGATCCCAGTCAAAATGTCCATTTCCGCAAATTAGAAAAAGCAATTCCTTTCCTTTGAAGAAGCCACCACTGGGATATAGTTGCTTGCTATAGAAACCTATAGTATATTAACCACAGAGTATCAGCATGGAAATTTGAGGTTACAGAAGACAAAGAGGAAAATAATGCTCACAAACAGAGCCAGAAAGCAATGAGGAACACTACGTTTGATGACAAGTGATGCTCCTTTATATTCATTCTGACAATTGCTGTATTTGAACATGTCATGATAGGATTTCAAGAGAAACAGGATGCATTTCCTCAAACAATTATGAAGTCAAATTACCATGTTTGTCTACATATGTCATTGTGTAAATTTACCATGTTTTCAAAATGCATCTTGCATGGGTGAATAATAAACTTACAAATCTGAATATAGTGAAGTAATGGAAGCATACCCTGTTTAAGGGAAGGCCATTTTAAAATGCAAAAGACACAGCCTTCCTGCAGATTGTTGACTTAAACCCTCTGATGCCTTCTGAATCAATGCATTTGTGCCTTGCAGGAAAATCAAGACCAATTATTTCATAGTTTCTCTCGCCTTTGCCGATTTGCTTGTATCAGTCTTGGTGATGCCATTCGGAGCCATTGAACTAGTTCGGGATAACTGGATTTATGGAAGGATGTTCTGTTTGGTCCGCACATCTCTAGATGTCCTCCTCACTACAGCATCAATTCTCCACCTCTGCTGTATCTCACTAGACAGGTAGGAGTGCAGAAACATATTAAAGCAAATCGTGTTGTGCTCCATTTATGTTGCAGCAGCAGCTGTGATTGTATTTCATGGGCTCCTGTGCGAGTGCCATTGTATGAAAGGCCTGCAAAGAAATGATCCATGTTAGAGGGTTAATGTGTGCTAAAGCTCAGACCTGGCATCTCTTTTTGGTGCCTGGGCTTAACTCTAGCATAGGCTTCCACAACCTAGTGCACTACAGGTGACTTGTGCTACAACTCCCAGTATGCTGTCTGGGTATGATGGGCATTGCAGTGCAACTCAGCTGGAGGGCCCAAGTTGGGAAGGCACCTCTACATCAGGGATGTCCAGCCCTTTTGGGTTAGTGGGCATACTGAGAGAACGTTGTGCGTTCTTTCACAAAAAGGCTGTCATGGACGGGGCTTGTCATTGTACAGAATTGTTTCTGTGGCACACCTGGCCAGTCATAAAGCATCCATTTCCCAGAAGACAAACTAGTGAGAGAGAAAGACAAATACATTTCTCAAAGAACCTAAGTATAAGACAAAAGTGGAATCTGAACTCCAGAACTGCTCTTTTAAATGCCCAGATTTATGTAACTAGTTATATAACTTTTATACTGAAGTTGCCCTTACAACCTGGAATTCTGGATAATTTCCACTTACCAAATGGAAGCGTATGTTGTGAGGCTGAACTTTCTCTTGTAGATTTTGAGCTTCTCGTATTCATTTGGTTTTCCCTTTTGTTGTAGATCTCCAATTATCAGAGTCTGAGAACAAAAATATTTGAACTCGGCTTCCTGCTTTCAAGGCCTGTCTTATTCTTCAAGTACATTTCTCATAGTGTCTAAGAGTAGCCATCATGTGGGAAGATGGGTGCTAATTTTTTACAACATAAGAAAGTAGAATAAAACCAGGAAATTTACATGTGATCCCCCTCCCTGTCACAAATATTCTGTAGTTGATCAGAGGTAACCTTGCCACTGGAACATTTTAGGTACTACTACAAAAGCAACTGTCAGGACAAGTCATGTAGCACAATCTTTTTCTGTGTACCTGTAGTGGTGTTTTCTTTTTTGCATATGCTATGATGAATGCAATCTGATAGCATTCTTGGTAATTGATAATAGGTTTCTGTAGATCCCTAGATGGAAATACAGAACTTCATTTCAGTACATAAAACACAGCCATAACATTATTATATAATATTAGACACTCTAAGTCAATTTATCCATGAGCTTGGAGTGGGCTCCTGAAATACAGGGTAGAAGCCATTACTTCATTAAGCTGTGTGATTAGTTTATTAATGGTTTGCCTCCTAAATGAGAGAGAGAGCTTCATTTCGTCTGTGCTGGCCATCTGGACTCTCACACATCCACTGTCAGGAGCTGTCCCTTGCTGCCTTCTCTTACTGGCAGAACTTTCCATCATTTTCCATTGACAGAAAGACATAATGGATGATGGGAAGCCTCCAGGGACCCCTTGTTTAGGACCAGTAAATGAGATCTGGAAGTAAAAGGACAAAGTCTTTGCACAAAGTTCCTTCCTTCACTTTGTGCCCCTCTCCTTTACTGTTTCTTGTGAGGTTAGTTTGTGGGCAGCCAAGCCCTCTGACTGCAAGAATTACATAATAAAATTCTGTAGGCCATACTATGAGGTGGCACTTCCCTATGTACCTATACATTGTTTCCAAAGCTACACTGTCAGAAGAGGAGAAATGCACAGACTGTGTGGAAGGCTGTCGAAGTACTAATAGTTGGGATGTGCTGAGATGTTAGACTAAATATCCTAAAGCAACCATTTGTGTTGGAATTAGCACTAATGCTGTTATTATGTAATACTTATTCCATTAGAAGCTATCCAGAACTGAAAATGATACCCATTTTTTGTGGTGTAGGACAACAGTAAGATAGTTATCCAGGAGACCAAAGAATTGCTAGACATATATCACTCTTCTGTAACTCAGTGGAATATCGCTACATATCTTTTATGTGGAGTTCTGTGTGTGTAGGTGTTCTTGTATATTGGGCATTCTAGGACCCAAATAATTTTGTACTTAGATTATTTCATTTCAATTAATTCATTTTATACTACTCCCTAGCCAAATCTCTCTGGGCAGCAAGATTCTGTTAAGTCAGCACTGAAGTGCTAATCAGATACAGAAATGTACCCAATTCTGTTCTCCCAGGTGCTAAAGCTCCCACTAGTCCACCTGGCTTTAAGAAGAGTCATACTGGAGAAAACACCTCCTTTCCAAAAGAAGACTCACACAGTGTTCTCTGGACTGAATCCCACATCCAGTCCTGCATAAGTTTTTGCTCTGTGAGGGACTGTCAGGATGACATATGATGACATTATCCTGCAGACTGGTCACACTTTAGCAGAGATGGAACTCTTATGTGCCTGACAGGAAATATTTGCATTTTCTTTATTGTTCCATCCAGAGTCTTGGGGCTTAATCCTGAAATACAATGTCAAGTCACAAGGGGGAAGGAGAAGGAGTACATGGTGGGTGACACTGAAGCAATAGCAGCAGAGTTGTTTTGGCTCCCCAGTAAGTGTGATTCATGCAGACATCTAAGATACAGTTAATCACTGGCACTGCACTACCCGTGACAGCCAAGTTCTGCAAGAGCACAGGCTGTGACAAGGTGTCACACTGAACCTGTTCTCTCTGGGGACTCTCTTGGCAGAAGCACTTTCCTTCTTCCCAGCATTTGTTTCCTTACATGTTTCTGGGTTCAGACTGCTGCTTCAGATTCTGTCTTTTCATTGTTTCACAGGTCTGTGTGCCTTCCTGCAGCACCCACATTGCCAAAATGTTAGAATCCTCTTTGAAAAATAAATCCTTCCATCTGTTTGTTTAGAGATAGGCAGGTGTTGATTTATTAGGCTGTGTTTGATAATTTGTGGTCTCTTTGTTGCTTGCTGTCTTTGCAAAACACTCCCAGTTCAGTCAGCAGAGGAATTTGGCAACATCCCCAGGTGAGGAAGCAGCCGAATGATGAATTTGCCTGAAAAGTAGCATTCGTGCGCGCGCGCGCGCGCGCGCGCGTGTGTGTGAGAGAGAGAGAGAGAGAGAGAGAGAGAGAGAGAGAGAGAGAGAGAGAGAGGTGGAGAAAAAATACCCTCTTGCTAAAACAGGCCAATGAGACAAACTGAGTCAACACTGCCTTTTCTGCAGTGCTACATCTTCAGCAGATCATGTTCCCACCCCAGCCCAGGATTAAGCATCACCTGATCAGGATCTGATCACGTGATCATGTGTCCCAGCCAAGCCAAAGAGGAGACATAAAGCAGCTGTACTACATTAGTCTGCCATTGCAGCAGGTGGCTCCAGATGGTTGAAACAGTGAGCTCTGTGCATGCAGATGTTTAGATAAGTGACGATGAACCACTTCATAGTTTCACAGCTGTATGCTGTGCCTGCATGTGATTTTCATACCACTCACAGTTGGTATGGGTAAGGGATAAACCTCCCTTTTCCACATGCTGCAATAAAGCTTCCCCTGCACCTCTCAGTGATGAAAACATAGAGCGAGTCAGAAGGGGCTTCCCGGGCTATCTAGTCTGACCCCCCGTCTCTAGCCAGCTCTGCTCACATCATGCCCACCATGTGCATGTCTAGCCTATCCTTGAACACCCTCACTGATGGGGCCTCAACAACCTCTTGTGGAAGCCCATTCCATACCATTGAGGTCCTAACTGTCAGGAAGTGCTTCTTGGCATCCAAATAGAACCTTGGCTCCCTGAGCTTTACTCCATTGGAGCGCGTCCTGCTTTCCTCTGCAGGGGAGAACAGGTCTCTACCCACCTCCGTGTGACATCCCCTGACATGCCTGTATGCCCCCAACAGATCCCCTCCAAGTCTCCTCTTCTCCAGGCTGAAAAGACCCAGTTCCCTCAGTCTCACCTCATACAGCTTTCCCTGCAGACCAGCCATCTTGTGGCCCTACACTGCACTGACTCTAACCTGGCGCTATCCTTCCTGTAACAAGGGACCCAAAACTGAACACAGTATTCCTGTTGCAGGGGCACCAGAGTCATATAGAGTGGTCCTAAAGAAGGCATCCCTGGATCCAGAGGTGGCCGCCAATTATAGACCGGTGGTCAACATCCTGTTCCTGGGCAAGGTGCTAGAGCGGGTGGATGAAACTGATTATCTGGACCCATCTGGTGCTAGAGTTCTTGGATGAAACTGATTATCTGGACCCATTTCAGTCCAGCTTCAGGCCCGGGTATGACACTGAATCTGCCTTGGTCGCTCTGTACGATGACCTGTGCAGGGAGAGAGACAGGAGGAGTGCGTCCCTGTTAGTTCTCCTGGACCTCTCAGCGGCTTTCGATACCATCGACCATGGTATCCTTCTGAACAGGCTAGCGGGATTGGGAGTTGGAGGAACCGTGTGGCGGTGGTTCTGCTCCTATCAACGGCCGATTTTAGAAGGTGGTGCTGGGGGACTGTGGCTCTGCACCATGGCAGTTATACCATGGAGTTCCGCAGGGGTCCATTTTGTCCCCCTTGCTATTCAACATCTACATGAAACCGCTGGGAGAGGTCATCAGGAGGTGTGGGCTGCGGAATCATCAGTACGCTGATGATACCCAGCTCTACCTCTCGTTTTCCACCAATCCAGGTGAGGCAGTGGCTGTGCTGAACCGGTGCCTGGCTGAGGTAATGGGCTGGATGAGGGCCAATAAACTGAAGCTCAATCTAGACAAGACGGAGGTCCTGTTGGTTGGTAGATCGGGCTTCGGAGAGGGTGGATTTGACCTGGTCCTAAATGGGGTTGCACTCCTTCTGAGGGACAGGGTTCGCAGCTTAGGAGTGCTCCTCGACCCTGAGCTGTCTTTAGAAGCTCAGGTGACAGCGGTGGCGAGGAGCGCTTTCCTTCAGCTTCAGCTGATCCATCAGCTGTGTCCCTTCCTGGAGAATGACTGCCTGGCGACAGTGATACACGCGTTGGTAACTTCCCGATTAGATTTCTGCAACGCGCTCTATGTGGGGCTACC